ATCTGCCCAGTTGCTCTTTTGCTCACACTATGAAAAAGATGTCGGGGAACCGACCCACCGGCGTTTGGCGACTTTGCCAGCTTCTTTTTCCACGGAAAAGAAAAATATAGCATTCCCAAGACGGAGAATAACTTTTTCTAGAGCCAGTGTTGATTATAACACTCTCGAGGACTAGACAAGAAAGCAGTGTCAGCTCAAAAGTGGAGGCCAAGCGAACACACACACACACACACACACACACACACACACACACACACACACACACACACACACACACACACACACACACACACACACACACACACACACACACAGAGGACGACTGCTTTACCCTCGCTTCCACGCCTACGCGTGGGCTCGGGTAATGAAACACAGACAGACAAACCGAGTACCTAGTCCTCGCCTATGCAAAGCTGGGCGAGGCCAATAAGCAAGATCAAAATTTTTATCATATATAGTCGCAATTGAAACAACAGGCCCTATATTAAAGGCTTTTCACACTTGTCCACTTTAATCCAGAATTAAAATGAAATCCAGGATTAGCTTGTTCACACTTGTCTTGAATCAGGATTGAAGCTAGATTCAGTCAATCCACATCCAGAGGTGGTTTGAAGTAGTCTTGCTAGCCAGACCATTCCCCAGCCTACAGTCATTGGGGTGGACCCCAATGACTGTAGGCTGGGGAATGGTCTGGCTAGCGAGACTAGGTTTGAAGTGGATTGATTAATCTTAATTAAAATAATATTCATAACCCGTAGAAGCCAATGCAGTTTAATTCACTTTTAATTCTTTTAAAGTATAGCTTAGTGTGAACACAACCAAAGAGGATTCTATTTTAGTAGGTTGCAATTCTGGATCTAAAGTGGACAAGTGTGAAAAGGCCTGAGCTCAAGTCATCCTCTTGTTTATGACTCCTATGCATGGTGTAGCAGTGCAAGCCATGCATTTACAAGAGAGTTAAATTTGTTACCAAGTTTTGTGGCTCATTTAACAAAAATATACTTGTATAAAGTGTATTTGAAAAAAGTTCAGTAAAAAAATTAATACTGTCAAACTATATTAAGACTGTTAACTGAATTTTATTAAGGTCATAATTACAAATATGATTTACACCACTAACATGTGTAGTTTATAATAGTAATACAAATTACATGTAAGCCTGCACATTAAGAATAGTCATACTTTATGACAACACTGCCATTTTGCCTAAATCATAATTTTTACATTATAGCACCAGTAAAGAACTTCATTGTTTCATTCATTGTTAGCACTATACTTTATTTTATGTAGACTATGGAACGCAGTCAACCCTTTCAGATTAGAGTAAAATTATAATCATTTGATACTCATTATACCATAGGGCACCTTTTTTAGGGCTATAAATTTTGCAGATTTTGCAATTTTTAAAAGATTCGTGAAAATTAATTCCGCGAAAATCAAATTAATACAGTACAAGATGTGAGACAGCATAAATTTGTGAAAATTAAATCTGCAAAATAATAATCCACGGAATTTATAGCCCTCAAAAAAGGTGCCCTACAGTATACATTGTACATGTAGAGTCAATAATATATATTCTTTATGTCATTTTATAGTTAATATTTTCACCACGGCTAGAAAGGCAATGGATGTCATCACGACTAGAAAGGCAACAGATTCAAATGTCCTCATCAATGTCAATGTCAATGTCCACATCGCGACTAGAAAGGCTGCGTTACTTTGAAGCACAGTCAGTAAGTAACATTATATTATTTGAAATGGATGCACACAGAGATAAGGTGTTGTATAGTACCATAGCCTGAGTGATAGCGAACCTGCATTGAATGCATAATAGCTACATGTATTTAAGTTTTTTTTGCTTTTATACAAAACTGCCAATTTAATTAAGCCATCATACTGATGCTACTTTAGGATTTAATTAAGTTACTAGAAAGACAGAATTGCACACAGTCACATCTGTAGGGAATTTTGTTATTAAAATTATATTTTTTATGTTAACAGAGTCAAAAAAATGGCATGTAAATTAGTTTTTAAGTTATTAGTCACTTGATTTGCTAAGTAATAAAAATGCATTTTGCTTAACAAGTGTTTTCATAGTCTACAAGTTGCGTAACATTAGCAATGTTGGATTGTCAATGTAATTTACTCAATGTCATTTTCATTGTCAATGTTCTCATCACTGCCAGAAAGTGATGAGATGTTAACAAAATATGATGATAATACAATGGTAACTCAGCTAGTAACCACAGTAAGTAAATAAAATA